CAAAAGAAAGTAAGGTGTTCATGGCTTAATATTTTTATCATGATTTTTAAAACTGTATTCCAGTTTATTGGACCATGTTCTAGTCATTATACTGAGCTTTTTATATATATTACAAATTTTAATCCTTACCATGGTGCTGAGAGGCAGGTATGTTAAACATTCTTTATAAATAAGGAAAAGCAAAGTTCAAGAGATGGACCAACTTGGCCACGGTCACAGGTTAGTCCATGGCAGAGCTGGACTCTGCCTGAGAAATGGAAGAGAGGAAATTCAGGTGAAAGTTTAACAGTTCCTTCAGCCTTTCTAGGTTTCATTTGACAACCAGATTCCTGCCTTGGAGGACTATGATGCTGAGACCAAGGCTGATTCCTATGGGCTAGTTAAGGGGTATTGGCTTCTCTTGTCAGGTGAAGGGTGGGCTGGAAGATGTTTGGTTTCCCAGGCATTGGGTTTAGTGGAATTTCTTGGCATATTTAAGTGGTTGATGAAGGTAGTACAATAAGCTATTTGTATTTAAGAATATGCCAGATAATTCAGAGGCTATATCCAGAATATACTTATACCATGAGAGGGAAGGGTAATGCTTTAAAGGTTAAAAATGTAAATTCAGGTTGGATGTGCTAGTTCATACCCATAATCCTAGCACATTAGGAGGCTAAGGCAGGAGAATCACTTGAGGCCAAGAGTTTGGGATCAGCCTGGGCAATACAGCAAGACCCCGTCTCTGTAAAAAATTAAAAGACTAGCCTCATGTGAAGGTGCACCCCTCTAGTTCTAGCTACTTAGGAGGCTGAAGCAGGAAAATTGATAGAGCCCAGGAGTTTGAGGCTATAGTGGGCATGATTATATTATCGCACTCCAGCCTGGGCGATTGGGTGAGACCATGTCTCTTGAAAAAATAAAAATGGAGAACAACAACTAAAAGTGTGAATTCAGCCATAGAGATGGGGACTCTGGTCACATTTAGAGCCCATCTGTTGTCCATGTACTACATTCCAGCTGGATGATGAGCCCTTCAATGCAGCTAATGTTAGCTCACGTGATCTCTATAGTACATTTAGAAGCTGGGTTTTGGGAAGGCTCAGAGAGGTTGAACAGCTCATTCAAGATCACTGTGCTCATCAGAGACGGAGCTAGAACTTGAGTCCAGTTGGGGGCGCCCTCTTTAAGTCAGCAGTGAAGTGATTCCCAGCTCTTGGGATTTGCGTGTCTGTCTGACTATAGTGATTCTGGTAAGTGCCAGGAAAGGCGTTTGCCTTCCCTTTGTAAGTCAACGGGTGGTTTCTAAGGGGAAGGTGTGGACCTCCCCACATGGAACTCCATTAGCGTCCTATAATCTAGATAATTGACTTAATTTTAAGGCATCTCAGAAGAATTCTGTGACCGTGACTTTAAACTCTATGAGATTAGAGACCAGGTATTCCCAGCACCTGGCAATAACTATTTGTTGAATAAATGACCTTTACATAATCTGATTAAAAGGAATCAGATGCAAGGAATTAGGATTATCTAGCTAAGATTGAGCTTCATGGGTCTGGGATGAGTTCAGTTAGCTTTCCAAATTAAATATCTTTGGACATCCCTCCCTGAGTATCATTAGTAGCTTCAGTGTCAGAGTCTTCGTGTTTTAAAAATAAGCTTTGCAGCCACCTGCAATGTTCTCACAGAAACCCCAGTTTTGAGTTTAAAACATTGTGCTCATTTGTCCTGCTAACACTGTGAAGTGTAGATATCTTCATTTTTGTCTATAAGGTGATAATTGCAGATTCAATTACTTCTAAGAGAAAGAGATGTTTAAAAGATTGAGTGCAAAGCTGAGAATCTGGGAGTGATCTTTAACAACATAGAAATATCCTGCAGGGAGCATGTGCAACGAAGTGACTCCAATGCTTCCTTGGCACTCTTTGGGGGGCGCTGGGATGGGTGGAAAGATTTGCTAAAACACTGTCAGTTAGCTGAGCTTTGCTAATTTTCCATAAATGTAAAGATATATTTGCTACATTTTCTTTATGGGCTTTCAATTTGTACTGGTGTACTGTATAAATAGGTAGCACCCCACCCCTGCCGATAGGATATTTTAGAAAATGCTTTAAATGATACTGTTGTCAACTTGAAAGTTGAAGCCTTCGTGTGGTTGATAACTAGTAATTTTAATTTAAGATGTCTCAAGAATGCTTTACTGTTAATTGAAAGGATTTTTCCCCCAGTATCACAGCCAATGACTTGTCTTGAGCAGCTAATTAGTACGATTATTCCACAGCTGCATTTGCTATGGCACAAAGGTTTGCTCCTGTTTTTATCAAAAGAATCAGTCTCTCTGGGAATGTTTTAACCTGACAGGCTTTGAATAGTAAGACCGCTTATTTATTTATTTATTTTTAAATAGCTGGTTTCCCCCACATCACCCCCTCCCCACTTCTTTTTTTTGGCTTAGGAAAGTACACTTGAGCTTTGAACACATACTCAAAAGTGGGAAAATACATTTTCTTCTGATGCTCTTTTAATAGAGCCTTACCAAGTGAACAGATGATTTTAAGTGAATAGAGTCTTGGCTGGGTATTCTTATCGCGAGGATGAGTGCATGATAGTAAAATAAGACGCAAGGTGTTAGCATTGTTTAATTTTGTGTGAGTCGGTAGGAAATGGAGGGGAAAAAATAAAGGAAAGGGGGTTTGTGTTTCCTGGGTTGCCGAGGACTTGCCGACGAGCTCGTCTGTGCTGATGCCGTCACTGCTTTTCCATCTTAGTGTCAGAATATTGTCGACAGGGAGCCAGGCTCCTTTCTTCTCGCCAGATGGTGAAAGTCATTTCTTCCTGTTCTTGTATTAGTATCTAGTGGCATATATTCTTCCCCTGGAAAAAAAATATTATGGCTTTATTATAGTTTAGGGGAAAAAGGAAAGAAAAATAAATTTACCTGTAATGCTATTCTCACTTTTGCAGCTGAGATCGTCTTTGCAGATTCCCTGCTAATCATTTTGTGTGTTTGTGGACATGCACACAGCACATGCAGAAAGCAGAAGATAAATGCACTTCTGAATCCTACTTCTTAATTGCCTCTTACTATGTGCGTTTCCCACTGCGCTGTGTAGTGGTGCAGTTTTTTAAATAATAGGTAATATTTTTATTTAATTCATGTGTCATAATTTATCTAACCATTCTCCTATTATGGAGAAAACTTAAATTTTTAAAATATCTAAAGAGCTTGGCAGAGTCAGTTTTTCTACTTTTCCACATTTATTTACTTATGAAACTTGTCCATCAAAATGAAATTTCTGAGTCAAATTATATGAAGACGTAGCTTTTTGATAATATTATTGCTTTCTTAAAGGATTGTAATAATACATGCTAGCAATGGCCTTAAACAGTTTTTATTTTTCTTGAAAACTTAGATCATACAATAAATGCTCTTTTGCATTTGGCTTTTCTAAGTTCATTATATTATGTAGTTTTATTTATATCAATAAGTATGTTTCCACACCATTTTAAATGACTGCATTGCATTATATCAAATGAACTGATCACAATTCACCGAACCAATTTCCTATTGTGAAAATAAGTGAACTACTAGTATAATTGTCCTGATGGAGTTTTTCTAGGACAGTGTGAGAGTAAAATCAGCACTTCTTCATATTTAGAGTGTTCTGTTATCTGCAGTATTTGAAGGTTCTTATCTTTAAGGAGTTCCTAAGAATTGTCAGTGATTTATAGGCTTTATTTTGCTTTTCATTACAACATCAATACAGATTTATACTCCAGGTACAAATACTTGAAGTGTGACTTTCTCAAGAGTGAATATTTACTCAAATATCTTCTTTTTCTATTTCTATGTCTTAAGGTTTGATACTGTAGGCCCCAAACGGAGATGTAAAAAAAATTGTATTGGGCGAAAGAAACAATGAAATTATCCAGATAGCAGTAAGAGCAGCAGACGTTTACTGAGTTGGTACCTGGTGCTCCCTGGCCAAGAAGATTATTGTCATTATTTAATTAAATCCCTTAGAAGGAGGCCTTTAAAATTTAAATGGTGCAATACAAGTTTTTAAAAGCACCTTCTATTTTTATAAATAAGAAAGTAGGTAAAAAAAAATTGTTATTTTTCTTTTTTGATGTGGTAACTAAGGCAGAGAGACGTTTAATAATTTGTTGACATTGTAGAGCTGGCAAGATAAGCAATCAAAAACCATATTTAGGAAAATTAGGAAGTCTTTTCTTTTTAACATGATGACTAGTGTTTCAGCATTTCAAATAGTTTTGGGTAGAGTGAGTAGCAAAGCCATGGTAGCTGCCATGGGGAAGGCATAGAGAACGCATAGGAAAGGGCATGCCAAGGGGAATCAGAAGAAAAGACGGTACAAAGAAAACCAGGCCGGAGAAGAATTGGGTTGTCACACCAGCTTGTCTTCTGCCCCCTCACCCAAAGACTAAGGTCGAGTTCAGTGTTAACATTCTGGTCCAAATGCTTCCTTCATTAATGATTTCACTTCTCGTGTGTTAGAACAGTTTCCTCTTGGCAGAACTCACCTTTACTTTAAACAATTCCTAGTTAGTAAACATTTTAGATATCTTCAAGGAATTTAGATAACGTGTAGGAGTTGTTATTTGGTTAGATTCAGTTGTATAAGAAAAAAAAGCAAATCAAGCAATTTATTTTTAAATGTGGAAATTTGGGTGCCATTAAGACACACTGCTTCTTGGCAGTGCATATGGTGGCGCTATATTTGGTGGTGATGAGTAGTATGCAGTATAAAATGTCGAAAAAAAATTAAGCCGCCTGATAAAAATGCCTAGTGCAATCAAGCTGACTTATTTTAATTCAACTACTAATGACTTGAATCCTGTCACCTCTTGATTTTCAATTATGTGGAGTACCACTCTGCGTCTTGATTATATTTGCGCAGGCTCATTTTATAGTTTGGTGCAATTTAGGATACCCCAAAGTGCAAGTGAAGGGTCTCATTAGGAAACTAAGTGTTGTGTGCCTTTTGGTTTTCCCACAGCAGTTCTGCGGAGCATCCTGGGGCCTCCAAGCCTCCAATAAGCTCCTCCAGTATGACATCACGCATCTTGCTACGCCAGCAACTCATGCGTGAGCAGATGCAGGAGCAGGAACGCAGGGAGCAGCAGCAGAAGCTGCAGGCGGCCCAGTTCATGCAACAGAGAGTGCCCGTGAGTCAGACACCAGCCATCAACGTCAGTGTGCCCACCACCCTACCCTCTGCCACCCAGGTGCCAATGGAAGTCCTTAAGGTATGTGAGTGCTGCCCTTGTTGGTTGGACCAAAACTTCTTCTATTCTCTATTTGCAAGGTATTTTGTTTATTTGAGTATGTCCTCTGAATCATGTTGATAAATGCCAACTCCATTGATTCCTATGTGGCTTTGTATTTTAAAAGAAGAATGCAGACTTGCTGTAAGTGTAACAGAAACTCTGAACAAAGGGGGGCGAGTGTCAGTGCTCCATGATGAATTGCAAGGAGTAGATGTTTGTTGTAAGGACATCTTTCCGTGTTTCTTTGGGAAAGTTTCAAGATGTAAAAATTATCTCCAATGGACCTCTTACAACTTGTATGTATTTTTTTCTTCATATATTCCATGATCACTCTTTCAGTTTCTTTTTATTTAGCAGATCGTATAGGATCTGAAAGTCTTTTTTTAGAAAGTATCTTCAGATATAAAACTGGAAAAGAGCTTTCTGCTCTTTCATAACCAGACGACATAATCCTTTTACTGAAGCGAGTAGTCTGCTTTGGGTCTCTTTGATTTCTTGCTAGAGTAGAAACTGCAGGAGCTTGTTAGCATCAGTCTATCAGGGACATATAGCTTCCTAATTACTAGGGAAAGTTGTAACAAGTCTAAGAATAGAATTCTGTCACACATAATGGCCTTCCACATCACAGAAGGAGATAACTCCTTGTTTGAAGATAAACATTTTAATTCTTAAATATGACCGATTCAAGGAAAGGTAAAGTTGGAGAACTTGGTTGCTTTCTATTCATTTTTTAAATTTTTTTACCTACTCACCCAATTGATTCATTCTGAAAAGTCCTGAGTGTTACTGTTCATTAAACAATGTGAACTTTACATGCCAGTGATTTATTATTGGTCTTTGCATTCATTCATGTGTTCAGAAAAAATGTCTGTACTCTTTAAGGTTTATTACTAAAGCCAATAGATGATGTGTTATAATATGGAATCAATACATGATCCTTACATCACAGAAAGTAGGAAAGAGATTCTTTAAAAACAAATTAAAAGCCAATTATTTTTTCCTTGATAAAGACTCCTTCAAAATATAGTGATGCACTAATGGAACTTTTTGATAGAGAAACCCATTGAAATTCTGTTAGGGCAAAAATGTTCCAAATGATTTAGCACAAAATTTTACTCAAATGTGCTCATTGAAATTGCCAGAATTAATGGATTTTCACTCTTTTCTCTCCCATCAAGGAAACCCAAAGTTTTTTTTTTTCTCTCTGACATAGATTATACATTGAATCTTTTTGTTCTGCTTGGGTGAAATTGATAATCACTATTAAGTTATCATAGATTTAAGATTTGTCTTGTATTTGCAAGAATCATAAATGTTTTGTCTATACCTTAGGTTGTTTAAAGTACGAATTAATAGTAATAAGTTGTAGAGAAATATATATTGGGTTAGTCATGATGGTTTGCTATTTTAATCTGAAGGGCAATTTAGAGGAGTTAACATGGATTTGGGTGAGTAGTGTTTTATATCCAATGTGAAGGTAATGCTAGAAACTGGATTTAAGTTGAAGTGAAATCAGTATTCCATTAATGCAGTTACATTTGATGGCGGAGAAATTACCCAAATGCAAATGTGTTGAAATATCATTTTCATATCATACTAAAAAGAGTATAATTTCTAAATATTTTTATTACTTAAAATATATTATTTTTGAAAATAGTTGACGTTAAAATCTACATTAAATTGTTTCAATAATAGGCCCATTTTTTCTTGTATGTTGCTGAGGCCTGGTACTATTTGACTAAGCTGCAGTCTCCAATTTAGGTATACCAGAAAAATATCTGAAGTTAAAACACAAATTATTACACCTGGAAGACATAACCCAACTAAAAATAAGTAATTGGTAAATTTATATTTTATGCTGGTGTAGTTTATGTTTAAGTTTCCTTTTTTATTTTAATTATATAAACTACTGAAGTAAGTCATATAAATGAAAAGAAGGAATTGTTGGCATAGCCGTAGGGAGAGATTTGATAGCTGTTCAGACAAATTTTAGCACCCTTAAGTGAAGAACAAAATAAGAATGTATGATTTCCTGTAAGGTGATGTTCTAAGAAATTCAAGTACCACTTTAAAAGAAAGTGTCATATAAGTGATTGCTTCAGGTAGTTAACAACTTGGTACCTCATATAGTTGGCATAGTTACAAAAGTTTTGTATATGAAATATTTTTTATAGAAAGATAGATGAGAGGAATATGGTCATTTTTTCCTTTTTGTAATTTTAAAATCATAATCATAGCTTTATGCAGTAAATAGTTAATAGCAAAACTGTTAATATACCTAATCTTGGACCATTTTTCAATGAATGTATGTTTTTGAAAAACGGCAACACCAAGTATACTAATTGAGTGCATTATGATACAGATTATATTGGATAAATATTCTCTCATACTTTAGCCATAGTAAATTTTCCATTTAATTTTTAAAGATTTAAATTGCTAAAACAGAGCATACCTCCTTCTTAGTAGAGGAAGACGTGTACAATTAGACATGCTAGCAGGTGCTAGAAAATCTGGTTAAATCCGTCCGTCTGCCAACTGGTTTGCAAGAACCTGTTAGAAGTAAGGGCATAGTTTAGTTTTCACATGTGAAACACACACACACACACACACACACACTCTCTTAAGTTACCAGTATTCTACTCTCTGTGAGTTGAATGACGGATTTCAAAAAGCTAGTATTTCAGGTTAATCCCTTTCTTTGGCAGAGTTAAACTTAAAACATACAGTTTATAAAGCATGTTGTAACATTGTCGACATCTGGCAAACTTAAGACGAGTCAGAATTTGTATTAGATGCTGGAAATTTGCATCGTGCCTTCCTCAACACATGCTTACCATCCCGTCAGGAAGTTTGTAAAGCTTCGCAGGACTGGCCTCTGGTTCCTAATTTATGGATTCACTCCTCCTATTGAGTTTTTTCTTGGGTAACATGGAATGATTAATCTTATCGCTATATATTTATATACTAAAGCTATCCTCTACGTTTCTTAAGTACAACTTTATCTAACTGGATATTGTGACTTAAGGATACTTCCTCAACATAAATCAAGAGAGTGTTGGAGTACATAATGCCTTTTTCCATGGTAGTGAACAAATCCTGTATTTCAAAGTAAATTAACAAAAAAGTCATCAAGAGCCATTAATTGAAGCAATTTCTTCCTCAGGCAGGTTTTGTTGACACGTGAATCATACCAACCTGAGGTTCGAAGTTTGATGTAGCTTCTTTCCAACAGTAGCCGAGGGACAGACCTTGTAGCTGTGTCAGGCCTGACATCAGGAAACACCGCGGCACCAAACCCGCATCCTTTGCACAGTCCTCCAGCATCTCTCTGCACCGTCTCAGCTCTCTGACTTTGATTGATTATAGAAGTGCTTGGTTGCTCGGATGGTGGACGGGAAAGTTCATCAAGATTTCTTTCCTCCCTTCCTTCCCCAACACAGACTCTGGCCGTGTATAGCTTGAAAGCTTTAGTTTACAGTTGGGAAATGTTTCTCTGCTTTGAAATTTGTAAGGAATTGCCCAGGATTTCACACTCCCCCCACTCTTTCCTTTGTCCCTTCCTTCCTTTTGCCTCAGAATTTAAAATTTTAAAGGCAAGGCATTCCCTCAGAAAGATTGTCCCTTGAATTCTTCTCTTCTGCTAAGGGGAAAGGTTATATGTATGAATTTCACTTTGGGTTATACGAACTTACTTTCAGATATTTTATTTTAAGTAGTCTGGAGAAACTTATTTTTAAATTTTCCCTTTTTTCCAAATCATCTCAAGAGTTGGACAAATTGCTCTGCAATCAGAAATGATGCTTACTGTTTGCCAAATACAGAAACACTTTTTTTTTTGGCCAGGACATTCTGTGTTGTACCCTGAATTCACTTGGGCATTTATTTGTGGTTATTTCATCCGTGTTGCACCCTGTTTAGATAGAGGTTCTAGCAAGTTGGAATAAAAGTTCTGCATCCTTGTCACCTGCTCCACAGATGACATTCAGTGACATTTCACAAGTGAAGGAAAGGGTTGATGACTGAATTATTGATCTTTCTGTGTAAATTATGAAGAATGATTGATCTTTCTCTGTAAATTATGAAATGTACATGGACTAGAATTTTCAAGGTGTGACTTCTTAGGTATAATACAGACATAATGACAAAGCATGTATAGAATTATAGGTAGATTGATGGATTATAGATTTGATGGAAGGGATTTTTTCCACCCCAACATCTAGTTTTTGTTTCCTATTTAGCCAGGAATACAGATCCTATATAGCGTCATGGTGGCTGTAAGAAGCCAGAACAGATGCAGCACGTCTCAAAGCAGCTTGTTTTGGTCCCTTTAGTTAGGAGATCTGTTGCTGTAGGTGTTGTCCCCATAAGATAAGGACCTGCTCCATGTGAGATTTCTTCTAATGCCATAGTCCATTCATACATGGGCCACCATATACTTGTGTCCCCAACAGTGTAGCTGACGCAGTCACTCAGTCTATCAGCCTTGATTTCAGGGACCATTTACAAACATTGATATGCTTCTATTTTTATTCAAATTCAGTGTCTGCAAGGCCTTTTTTTTTGTTTAGGGGAAAAAGGACTCAGTTCCACGTTCCATAAATGGCACTTTATCCTCCCAGGGGCCTCATCTCCTTGTAGTCTTTGAATGATTCAAAAATCATTCATTCAATGTCACACATAAGGCAATTTTCTTTCTCTTTAAAACTCATTTTATTGACTTTTTAATTGCAGACAATCCCTGTTAACTTGTAGCAGATTTGAACACTACAGAGGACTAATCTAACAGGAAACTCTTCCTGCCTGCTGCGGCCTCCTGCCCATCACACTTCCTGGGGGCACTGCCCTGAAGAGTTCAAGGGCAGGCTTCCTGACATTTTCTGTTTTCCAACTTTTGTGGGAGTGAGCTCTGATCAAATATATTAGGCAGTTGTGATCCCATAGACATAAAACCTCTATTTCCTATTGTTCACATTTGCAAA